TGATCTCTTCTGCTTCGCAGTCTTAACTTAAAGCGTGAATATTCGCGCTTTATAAAATGTGCGAAAGTGGAACCGCTATCGTAAACAAACACACCGTAGCAACCCGGATGTTACCACAGGATCCTGGTACGATCTTGTTTGCGTTGTTTGGTAGGAACGCGAATCTTCCAGCTTATGTATTTGCACTTAGCTGAACATGCGTTGGATAACCTGATACACAGTGATGCCGAACCGGTGCCAATTATGAGGTAGGCGCTCACTCTTTATCCCTATTGGTGAACTCATTAGGCGTTGTTAAAGGAGCCTAATAAAATGTGGCACACATTCCAGCTGACTCGATACTTCACTAGAATTCAGTGACTATTTCGCATACCTTGTTTGTTGTGGTTCAAGTGCCGCTGGACTAACTGTCGTTTGCCTTAAGTATGTTTTTACTAACTTATGTAAAGGATGGGATGGACTGGGGCTCACCTTCAAGCTAAACTACTTTCCACTACACAGAGTTAAAAATTGGCTCACAGATGGTCAAGGGCTGAGCCAGGAAACGTAGTTATGCACCCTACAAGCAAAACCCAAAGCAATGTCTTGGAATATGCACGGAATTAGTCTGGAAGTCATCTCTACAGAAGATCTAAGGAACGACTAATCACTGTATCTGAGGGTCCCAGCACGTTTCACTTTTGATACAGTAGTTTTGTCTGATGCTTTTGTACTAAAAGCGTATAACCGTAAGCCTCTCAAATACTTTAACCGATCGGTCACCCATCCTTCTGAAACACAATGCACTACTTTATAAAACATGGGTGATGGCTGTTTACTCAAAGTCATGTTGCGAATTACGCGCAGACGTAACCAGAAAGAGATAGCATGGGGGCAATATATGAACCCAACCCAGACGAACTGCTACAGATGCAGTGCAATGTGCAATTATTTCTCGACAACCGGATACTAACCGTCTTGCCCAAATGTCTTTTATAACCCAAAAGTTCCTCGAGAATATTCGTTTGTTACTTGCTACCTTGGGATAGGATTGAGAATCCTTTAAGCAACGAGGAGCTGTATTTTTGCTTCTGCACCCACAGTATCTTAGATTAACCCGATGTATGCAGGTGAAAGTCATTCGTAAATCACTATCGTATCAGGAAGAGTTGATCAGCATGCGTTGAAATCCATCACATCCCCATTTAACTCCCTGCTGCTTTTCTGTATTCAGTGCGCAGACCAAATTTTCTAAACCGTTATAAATTATTTAGCTGCTTTGTTTGTCCGCCTCCCGGTGACTGGCTACCTTGGCCTATGCACAGCAGTAAAGTTCAGATCGGTCGTTGCTGCCCCTCGTATCCTTAAGGTTTTAACCATTGACTGGTGATAATTAGGTTGTGAGTTGCAGTCCCACATGGGCAGAGGGAATTCAAACTGATAACGATCACAAAAGGATAAAACAGACGTATGCTTTCTCGAGTCTGTGCTGGCCTTCCGCTTGAGGGCAAATGCGATGAATTTAAACTGATATCATTCAAAGAGGCTGATCATCTATTCATCAGATGTTAGGCAAGTGGTCGCCATGTACTAATGACAGTTTATTGCGAATAAGCAAATGTGAAGCACTAAACATTTTCCTGCATGATCTCCGGCGGATTCCTTGATTTGGTAGTAAATAATTCAAGAAAATTACACCGTCAATGGTAATGTACCAGAATCAGAAGAACTTGCCAAATTTGTGTAAACACTGCTCACTGACACCAAAATATTGATACTGCTATCAACGCATCGCCTTGGTAGTGTTTCAGTTGACATAGCCAGCTGACGAATAATTTAAGTTCCAATAATTAACTTCCCAGAACGAGTAGGTTGTCAGATGTTCACATGTGAATAACTCATCTGCAGAGGAACCTCAGTATGTTAACTGACAATGTCAACAAACTATAGGGTAGTAATAGACGGATATATGTGTACCAGTAGCTGGTGGATTTTAATACACTGGGTGGATTGCGTTAAGAATACATTTGAAACCTATTCCTAATCCACTTATCCATTCTAACTTTATTGTTCTAGAAATATGTATTTTTATTGGTGAGGCACAAATACAAAAGCTTGCAAAATGAAGCATCTTAAAACGCTGTAGTTTAATAAAGTCTTATTTAAAATGAATAATCCATGCACAGTAACTTCGTATCAAGCAACTTATTGACAACGCTAGCGTCAAGCTTTTATCACAACTGTTGTTCTGGTGAATGGATACCCAGTAATACAGTGCCCCCAGATTTAAGATTTACATAACGTATGAACTAAAGTGTAACTATGAACATTACGCTACAGGTAAACACAAGTTCCAAGGAAATTTCACATCGACTCTAAAAGTTGAAACTTTATTCTGCCAAAGGCAAGTTTACCTGCACTCTAGATAATCGCGCTGCACCCTCCAATTAGCGTCACTTATGATCGTACAAACCAAAAGCTATCAACAGGCACAGGTGCGCTGATTGATGGTAACACTACTGGACTCCAGTGCATCGCCCAGCAGTTGCGTGCATTGCAAAAGACGCTGTTGATCGCGTGATAAATGTATACGACGTTTGAAATCGGAATAGGTATAATGCACTGCAGTTAGTTACCGTCAGATGATGCATTCGAGCGTCTTTTTACGTATGCTGTGTATCATTAGAACATTCATTTATCCATTTTGCGATGACCTCGGTTAATAAAGAATCAGGTGATAATTACATTGTAAGGGATTAAACCAAAATCTGTTTTGCGCGATAAAAGTATAAATTGCGTTGTGAGCGTTAGAGGATTAAGCGACTTCCGATCTGTTTTTATGGTAATTTTGAAGCAGTACTTTTGGAGCCGGTAATAGTCCCATGTAGTTTTAACAGTTATACAGTAGCCTGGTGCTCGGAGTCGAAAAAGCGGGTATCCATCAATGTTGCGAGCGGAGATCAGACCATTACACACTATTTCCCGAGAAACATGGGCAGTTTGAGAATCATCAGCTCTAGGAACTCAGTCATAACGAAATGTTATGGCGCACGGACTACATCTATCGGACCAACATAACCAGTTGGGCATTTTTAGAAATTTTTCCTACATAGAGTTTTTAAAGCATGATACTCTCATACTAAAAAGGATGTTGTTCCGGTTGCACCATGAGAATTAACAGTATTCCGTTTTTAACCTACTAGAGACAGGCGTCCAGTTTTATTTTCAAAGGAAAATACCGATATTCGTTCAAATAATAATAGTAATACTAGATTGGAAAGTCAATTTGAAGTAATACTAATAATAGTACCCAGCAATTTCCACTAAAGCTCAAAGACCTGCAAAATATGATGATAAAACAATGATATCTTTCGACGTGACTGCCCTCTTTACATCTGTCAACTTACAAGTGGCAACAATGGACATCACAGAAAGCCTGAACAGCAGTGAACAACCAAAGGAGAACCTAACGACCGAAAACCTATGCAAGCTACTCCAGTTGTGTCTGTCAACCTACTTCTCTTTCAACAGGAATATCTACGAACAATTGAAAGGCGCGCCAATGGGATCACCTATATCGGGACTCATCGCGGAAATGGCAATGCAGAAATTGGAGGGAGATGTACTCCCACTCATTAAGCCGGAACTGTTGCTCCGATATGTTGACGACACTTTTGTGCCCATCAAACGCAATCAAGTTACAATCTCAAAGAAGCTATTGAACAACCCCATTGAAGACATCCGATTTACGATGGAAATGGAGAATGAAAACCAACTGTCTTTCCTGAATGTATTAGTAACCAGAACCATGGAAGGGAGGCTGCAAACATCAGTTTACAGAAAATGGACATATACGGACCAAATTCTGAACATTAACAGTAACCACTCGAAATGCCATACAGTAAGCTGTGTGCGGACACTAATTGGTAGAGTGCAAACCCACTGCAGTACCGCGGAGGCAAAGCAACAAGAAGAGAAGCATCTATTTAAATGTTTCAAACTAAACGGATACCCGTGAAGCTTCATTCGAAGGTGTCTGAATCACAACAAACCAAACAGACAGTCTACACCAACGACGGAAAGACACGTTGTTTTACCTTATATGCAGAATATATCCAAAACGGCAGCAAGACTATTCAAACAACATCACCTCATCGTAGCACACAAACCAACTGCCACACTGAGGAAAACTGTCGAAACCGAAAAAGAAACTGGATGTTCATGAGAAAAGTAATGTTGTATATAGAGTAAGTTGTAGAAATTGCGAAAAGGACTAGGTTGGTCAGACAGATAGAATATTATCAACACGAGTAGATCACAAGAGCACACCATGCATCATCGCTAGTCTCAGCACACGTGGATGAAAAAGGATGCAGGTTTGATTGGGCCAAAACAGAAGTCTTGGCACGAGGTGAAACAAGAAGAGAAAAGGAGTTCCTGTAAGTGTGATTCTCAACAAAAGACTCGATTAACATGCATACCGAGATTGACCCAGTTTACCAACCCCTCCGAAGGGGAGAACTTAGAGAAATTACGAGACGCTGCTTGAATAGGAACAACCTGAGCGACGATTTCCGCCCCGGGGAAATGGGTAGAGATCACGGGACACAGATCGAAGTCGTCACTTTCGAAAAGTCACCTGCACGCCGATCACGGATCGACAATTCAATCAGGGAGATTACACTCCACATCTAGACGCACTGATGACGCCGCCTCGCATGGTGGTGAAACGTTTGCAAACAAATTTCCCAGCTCGGCAAACAAATGAGCAACTGAAGTATCTGTATGAACCTGTAAGCGTTGTTTCTTTGGCATATAAATTTTTTCTGACCTTAAAACGGTCCACCTAAACTTATCTTCATCGATAACAATAAATCGTTGTTCCACCCTTTCAGAAGACTAGCAGGGAACTTGCATTATACTTCACATAACTTTGGCTGATAGCTCCGTTGTCATCCTAATCGACATTTACGTATGGCTGCATTTCAGATAGCGTGCAGGAAACGAATTGGATTGCAAGTTCGTTTTATTCAAACTCGCGGACAGTACAATTCCTCGCACTCTGACTTAACGCATATACTTGGCAATTTATATGTCTGGACTTCATCCGGATGGAGTCCTATACATATGAAGCCGTTTTGGGGGACTATCCTCTTCTCTTACATGCAATGCTATGCTGCCATTATGCTGCTAAGCAGTGGATCGTGAACTGAGTTATATTACCTGAAGAATTAGGGACGACGTAACTAACGTACGACAGAAAAACCACATGCACACGCAATAACTTGGTAGTAACAGTAAGAATGTCCATTTGCGGCTTTCATTGTTCTTTCTTACCAGTTTACGAATACAGTCGAATCCGCTTTATTGCCCACCCGGTTTACAGCCCATCCGCTCTACTCTTCATTTTTTCATAATACAACTTCTTTTCCCATACATAGGCTAAAATTGCACCGTGTAATGGCCCGTTACCGCGATCGTCCCACCACTTGATTGCCCATCTACGTGGGCTGCGCTCTTGTCGCTTTGTCAATTTTACACGCTCGCTCCGACTATCCTTTTTTACGATTACCTCACAGCTAGCCAGTCCGGCCGAGTCAAGAATAACGAAGTTGTTGGCAGATTAGAAAAGATTACCTTCGTCACTTAATACACGAGTAAGTAAAATGTACAGACCGCTGTGGGTAAGCCACCGGCCCTATTCAAGACTAGACAACTGAGCGAACTCGAGTAAACTTTTCGCTCCATATTTGTCAGTACTCTATTGGTTACACACAAGTATGGCCAGTAACAAAAAGGATTTGTACTTGACAGAAAAGTTAGACATTTTGGATAGAATTAAAACTTATTCACCAGAAACCTCACAAGCCAAGTTGTCGGGGATTTACACCTTTCACTTTTACCCTAGGCAGGTTGATTGCCAGCGAAAAGGAACTATGGCAGAATTTGTCGCGTGGCACTACAAGCTCTCAGAAAAGAAAGTGATGTGGAAAGGATGAAGAAGTTGAAACTGCTTTGAAAGACTGGATGATATCGGTTCGTGAGCACAATCGAACAGTTACAAGCCCGTTTATGAAGAAAAAGGCAGAAGGCGGGAAAAGACTGGGAAAATCCTTTACTGCCACGGAAGCATGGTTGGAAAGATGAAAGAAAAAACAAACTGTATAAACGCGCGCATAGCGAAAAGACTTCTGCGGACAGAGAAGTCTGTAAAAATGGGCTGAAATCTCAACTGCCTGAAATTTTAAATGCATTTGTTGATGACAACGTGCACAGTGCAGACGCAACAGGTCTATTTACGGGACAACTCCAGTGGGCTGTATGGGTTCTTCTGCCGACAGGCTCAGCAGATCGAATAAAGCCATGAGTAGGATCACTCACCTGAGCTGTGCGAAAATCTCAGGCTGAGAAAATGGAAACTGGTTTTGATTAGAAAAAGCAAGAAACCAAGATATCTTAATGGCGTGAAGGTGGACACACTTCCCGTAACTTATAGAGCTAAGAAAAATCGCGGATGACGATGGAACTTTCACCGAGTGGGTCCTCGAATGAGACAGGGAGCTAGACCGAAGTGGTCGAAAAATGATGCTACTCTTGGATAATTTCACAACCCATCCACAGGTAGAAAGCCTGAAAAACATTCTAATTTATTTTTACCGGCAAACAAGACCAGCGTTTTTAACCAACTGGCGAGGGTTTGAGTATGAATCTGAAAATTCGTTACAGAAAGGAAATTGTGGTGCGAATCTTTTATCACCATAATATCATGGTGTTAGTTGGATCATCGACGGCGGGGGATGTCAGCGCCAAGCTTTATGAGCTAGATGCAATTCAGTCCGTTTCAAAAGGTTGGAGATTGGTTACCATTGCAGCAATAAGAGCTTGCTTTCGGCATACTGCCTTCGGTCGACTGGCATCCGATGCACTTCTAAAGACGCCGTCATCGCTGTAGACGGGATCAGCGCTTGCACAATATCAGTCTTCAAAGCCCTAGAGTTCATCGCCATTGACTATGATGTGTACATCAGATCTGACAACTGTTGTAGATGAAATCATTAGTAAACTTCTGGAGAACCGTCTAGGACAGCAAGCAGGCAGCTACTCAGTAGGTGACGTGCCGGATGCCTCCGCGAGTAAGAGCAATCAGCGTATGTGACATTCAAGAGCAAGAACCGTGTGAAAGATCTGTATAGCTACGGACTTTTGTTGGACTATGCAACCATTTCTTGTCCAAATTGAACCTCATCAGTGCAAAAGTGAATGGGGTAGCAGCTCAAAATAATGTACTATTGAAGTTGGATTGTTTCCTCAGCAAAAGTATACAGTAGCGCCAATTTCTATAGCTGCCCAGATAAGATGCTTTCTGTTATAATTTTTAACTTATAAGTCCTGCGCTTCTGCATGGACGTCTTTTGTAGGCTTTATTTAAGTATTTTATCCTGCTTAACATGTTAAAATTCAAGTGATATATTGTACAATAAGGCAATGATTGCTTTCCTTTTGGAAAAGATGGCAATATCTGTCAAATGTCCACCCCGCTTTATTGTCCACTTTGGAAATATACCGATGGTGGGCATTAAAGAGGGTTTGACTGTATTATCAGAGGTTTGAATCCGCAGGTTCATGAACTGGAAAATGTGAAGTGGTTCACTTTCTCGCAACACTGAGTCCGTCTGTCTGTTGTGACCAATACAACACTGCCTTGCTTAAGCTTCCGGAAGCTTTTACCTGCTTGTACATTAGCCTATAACCTGCCCTGCTGGGATGTTAATGTTTCCTCACGGGCAAGTATAGAACAGCGGTTATTCCGAACCTACTAATTACCTTAGGTTTCTGACAATGGTAGTATCCGTTCGTGCGCCATGATGTGTCCCTTACTCCAGGAGTCTTGAGTTCCGCGCATGATGAAGAGTGTTGACCTTGCTGAACATAGAAGGCTAGTTTCTGACCGGTATGTGATCAGGTTGCCGAAGTTTCCGACAAATGTCACTCATGCGCTTGCTAAGGAATCATCATCCAACCAATCCCAGGGGGCTTTAACAACGAGTTCTGTTAATATGTCATAATGTTTGATTGTACTCGCCGAGTTATCACTTCGTTGCAACACTTATGTTACATGATCACTCAGTCCTAAGAGAGTCTCAATTATAAAATTTCTAATCATGGCCTCTTCATTTATTGGCATATACTCAAACAGCGATTATTTGCTTACTACTCTCAGCCTAGGAGTAATCTGACATAGAAATCAATCTACCCGATTTCTTGGGTTTGGTGAGCAATATGTTTGTCTGTGTCCTGTAGGTACTTGATAAGCCGGAGTCATGTAACGTAATGCAACTTGTGTAATGCATAGTTGAGTCGTTTTATGAAAGTGCAAAGTGCATGCACAAATGACAGGTAGGAAGAGCCATCGACGGCCGACTATTTCTGATGGAAAAAGGATTCTGGCAGCAGTTCAGCCGGCTGTATTGGTTGGCCAACTACAACACTCTCCCTTTTAGTTTTGAGTTGCGGCTAAGTCTAAGTAGGTGGCGGAAAACATAACTAGGGATTTCATAATTTGATACGTCAGTATGAGGTCACTCCGTAGAAGGCAGTGACTTCCACTGTATAATCCTAGGCCTTTCATTCGCAGTTGGTATGGCAGATGGAAAAACCCTTAAGATTAGACCTCCAGTGCAACTAAATCGCGTTTTAATCAGGGCAACCATCCTGAATCGCGTACACCACATGGAACCACACATGCACAGTGAACATTTGTGGAAAAATAAGTTGCTGGTTTGTGGTTTTGGCCACCCCAATGATTGTTCAAGACATCCTTAATTCTACTTTAAACGTCACCCCACGATTGCGCTCCCATTAGCACCAGAATTAGCTAGCTATCTAGATTTCAGAAGTCCTCGGACAATAATTGTACATTAGAAGGATTTAAAGTGCAAACCAGTTCAATAACTCGTGATCACTGAGTAGTTGAAGAAAGTGGAGAATCAAGTGCCTCGGTTCTTAAGGGAAACATTTGAATAATCGTAGCTAAGGAGACGAACGATGGCGATGCGGTTTTTTCCGAGTTGGCTATTTTGTCTTCGAACATTTCAGTAACTGTCACGCAATGTCACCTAGCTTGCTTGAGAAATGTTGACAACCAAAATATTCAGCTGAGAAGAAAGCTCGACACCCTGCACAATTCTTCAGTTGTTGGATCTGAGCTCAATATCTTCCCTTAGCTTCATAATCATAAAAAGGTGCATTGGCCCAAGTGAGAACTTGTATATAACGCTTGTCATAAACCAAACTATTGACGGGTCCCCTCAGTTTAAGCTTGCTGACTTGCGTCAAAACCCACTCTACCGTTAGACGATTTGTTACTTGATTGGTGCTCACGGATATTTTGGAATACACTGAAATTAAGGCAACCACATAATAGAAGTTCAGGTGGTCCATAATTTCGAGACTTTGGAACTGCCTCCCTTTAAAAACACCAACCACCCAGTTATTCGGAGATTTCGCAGAAATAATCAATGACTATATAGTTATAAAGCTATGAAGTTTTGTTTCGCCTACAACTTCCCATCCCATCCCAAAAATGTCTCTCGTTCGCCTTCGGACTAATTATGCTATGCACAGCAATTGTCTGCATTTCACAAGTTTCTACCTAATAGGTCACAACTGTACGGTTTCTTGACTAACAGCCTCACAATCCACCTAATAACAGACTGGTTTCAGACTTCCCGTTTTATGGCCACGTCACTACGCCCACCAGAATCAGGAGAACTAACACGCCATTCATATTGGACCGAATATTCACTAATGAAGAACTGATGGTGGAGAGTTTGATAACCGATACTCCTCTGGGCCGCAGTGATCATGCGACGCTAGTGTTGCATTACATGTGCTAGTCAGATTATCCTCAAGAGCATTCTGAGGAATATCATGTCGTAACCAACTATGACGACCTGTCCGACCTCATTGATGCAACAAGCTGGTCGTTTTTAGCCGACTTGACCTCAGAGGTAGCTTGCGGAGAATTCGTCAACATATTTACCAAGCTCGAGGCAAGGACATCTGAAACCAAACTCTACCGGC